TAATTAATGTTATGAATTGATAGTTATGTTTGTATAACTAAATATCACGTGAACACGTGATCTTGTACTACTATTTCACAACTAATTAATGTGTACTACAAGCTATAAATATTTGCTAAAAGTAATTATTAAATTATTATTATTTGTTACATGAACTAATATTAAACTTTAAATATTATTTTAATGGTTATTATAAATTATTACAGGTGTTTTTAATATTATTTTATCATTATATTTTCATTCTGTAACAACGCCGCTAAAGCAAAAAAAGAGTAAAACCTAAGGAATCCAAAACTAAGAAGAAATCTAAACCCTACAAAACGAAACAGAAAGATACTTCCACTTCTGGTAAGTTCCAAAATAAATCGACTGTTATTGGCCATGCCAGTTCTGCTGATAAGTCTCTTCAGAAGGCTGTATTAGATATGCTTGATGGTATCGCATCTATAGATTAGATAGAGAAGCTCAAAGCCAAGATCGAGAACTCGTCCAGGCCCTTTAGGGACGACTCTTTGAGTCATACGTATTTATCTATCAAAAAATCTGATTTCACAAATTATAGAGAACCAGTTCAAGAAATACCCAATTCAGATGAGGAAGAGGAGACGTTGGAAGATCCTATGGAGATTGACTTTGTTAGAAGAAAGGAGCCTGCCACAAGCCTTGCAACTATACCATGTAAAATCAAACGTTTAAAAATTTTAGCATTGGTACTTAATAGTGGTGCTGAGCCTCCAATTACATTAAAAGACATTGTTAAACGTGTAAATTGGCCAATCAATAAATCAGAAAAATATGATCTTAGCGGTGTTGCTACAGTTCCAACAGAATCAATCAGCATTACTCATAATTTTCCAATAATATTCCTTCCGGGTTTTACTATACGTGAAGATTTTGTTGTTGTACGTGTTCCTAAGCCAACATTGATATTCCCAAATCCGCTTCTCAAAAAATATAAATGCGCTATAGATTGGGGTAAAGATGAATTGAAAATCCCTTTTAATAGAAAGGATCACATCATCTCTGTAAATATGATCAAGGTTAAGAACAAGCTTGAAGTAAATTGCGCTACTGCAACTCAGGATAATAAGCTTCTGCTATCCGATCAAATTTCACAGGAGGTAGACGAGGATGAGGATGATAATGTACCATTTGACAAGTGGTACGCTCCTGCGGGTTTTAGCTTAGATCACGATAATCTGACTTTAAAAAAAAATACATGAGCTATGAAGAACTGGAAAAATTGCTATATGAAGTACTTGAATCCAATATTAAATTGATCAAACTCAATAAAAAACTGCGGACTTATAAAAATAAATCTGAACAATCAAATGAAAAGAATACCAATATAGAGAAAGCAAAGATAGATTAGTTAGGTTATTAATCACTTTCTGATTCGCGTAAGGCTTCTTCCATTCCTTTGCGTTCTCGCTCTATCAAAGTATATAAATCGTCTATCTCCTCTATTTTAGGTAAGTTAGAAGTCTCAAATTTTGATTTTCTTTTCTTTATCCGTTTATTAGAAGCAATAATAGAATTTTTTATTGCATTGCAAGGTTGAAAGGGCACCACAACTGTGACATGGGGCTTCACCCCTACAGAGTGTGTAACATGATTTATAGATTGTATTTTTTTACTCATGTCGTCTTTATCAGTGGAAGTGCCTTGATCGATATTTGACTGTGTTGATTCCATTGATGAGCACGATTCAAGTATAGATAAATTTTGATTTGAAACTACCATTGTATCCGGTATCGGTTGGTGCCATTCAATCATACAAACTTCTTGCCCTCTCCAAATTTTATAAAAACAGTTATTTGTCATAGGATATCTTTTCCTTAACTTCTTTAAAATATCAGTTTTGAGTTTTGCATCATGGTATTGTATAATAAACTTATAATCTTCTGAAGATAATGGAACAGCATTAGACCGCATATGTTTAACCATATTAACATTAAAAATATTTATACATGTAGTATGTGTAATACTAATATCGATAAAAAACATATTAAAAAAATATTTATACAGATAGTATACATAGTATCTGTAATTAGTATGGATAGTATGCATAGTATCTGTAATTAGTATACATAGTACGTGTAGTATACATAGTACGTGTAGTATATATAGTATACATAGTAGATATAACAGATATAGTACACATAGTATACATAGTAGACATATATTGGGTTTACCTGTAATTTTTTTTGCTATATTATTTATTAATTGATATGGTCCATGCGATAAATCTTGAAAAAGAATTACGTCGTAATCTTCAATCCTCTTCTAAATTGTGTGATTATAATAATAAGTTGTAGGATAAATGCATTAAGCAAGAGCAAGATTTTGATCGAGAAAGGGGAGGTTGGAATCGAGAGAGAAACAAGTTGAGTCAGAAACTAGGAGGTACTAACAACGAAATCTAAAAATTACGCAATCACGCTCTAGAACTCATTGATGAAGTTAAGCAGTGTTGACCGTGATTACCTTTACTAAACACGATTAACTATCAACTAATAATAGGGAAACTATTGTTCAAAAGGTCACAAAGCAATTGGACGAATATGTTATAGTTGGAAGGTTTATACTTGAAGAGGTATAAGGGATAAAGGATTTAATGATGCGGGTTTGTTTGAAAGAGGCCAAAGGTGTGAGATTTTTAAAGGGGTAAGGGAGGTTTTATACTAACTCAACAAATATTCACACAGAATATTATCAGTTTCATACAAAAACTACAAAAATTCACACAGAATTAATATAATTAACCAAGATCACGAAGCAAAGTTAATTATAAGTAAAATAATACTGAGATCACGAAGCAGGATATTATTTATCAAAAAGTATTTCACTAAGAAATCAAAGGTTTCAAATTATTATTGTCACAAAGACTTT